AAAAATAATACAAAATATTAAAGTTGTTGTCAAGTATTTGATTTAAAGAATTGTATTTTGGCGGGCAAACCTACGGCCAATGAAATAAGGCGAACCACTACTATGGGTGAGAAGGGCGGGATGCGTTAAACGGTCCAAAACTCGTTTGTTGCTGACATACCTATCTATTTTGTCATGCAAACTACTACCTGTAATATGTTTGACAGCAGGACGTACTTTAAATGACACTAATTGTTGATAAAGCGACTATCACAATTGAATACGTTTCAACGGTCACAGATAAAAGTGTACACTAGTTATGTATGTTAGATATCAATGCTAAAACTCCTATAGAAAAAAGTCCGGAAACATTATGATATGCATTGACTGATAATGCTATATTCTACAAATACCCCAATTAAAAATCGCGTATAAGAGAACGATTTTTAAAATGTCCATTTAAGTTCTTTTTACATGCTTTAATGAAAATTTTTTTTTTCTTAATAGATTTGTAGATAATTTGCAATTGATATCATCTTTATAAAATTAAATTCATAAAAATGATCATAGCAAAATCTGCCTTCAAATAGGACACTTTTCTACCCTTAAAACAACGATTATTTAAAAATGGTTTAACATAAAAAGTTATTTTCACCATAATTCTTTTTAAAATTGAATTCTCTATTAAAATAAGTAGAAAAAATTAGGGGTTGCCTTTTAATTTCTTAAGTTAGGGTAGATTTCTACCCTTTTACATTAGGGTTGAATTTAAATTTTAATCGTAAAAGATGCATTTAATTATTCAATTAGCCTCTAAAAAAAAAAAATATTAAAAAAATCAATAGCGGCTCTAAAAAATCTAAAAACTTTACACCAATAATAGTATAAATACTACACCTTTGTAAGTCATCTACTAAAACATAATATTAACTTTTTATTTTCATTAATTAATACCATATGATTAATTATTGTTAGAGTAATCAGAGATTAAAGTAAATTTTAATGAAGTAAAGAAAAAAAAAACCCAGCACAGGGGGGTCGCGGCACAGTGGTGACGTGGCAAAGTTGGATCAAGTATAATGATATCTGACAGTGATTAAAATCACTATCAAAAATAAACGCTTCGATGCAAATCTTTAGATAGTGTTTAATTTAAAAAAAATTGGTGTTTTATTCCAAAAGCTACTTGATCTGCTGGTTCCTTATTAATATCTCGATTAAGATAAAGTATGTCGAATGAAAAAGGGTTTATTAAAAAATATTATTTCTCATAAAAAAATTGTGTGGATCCATAAACTTTTCAATAAGTTATAGCATTATAAAGTTAAATATAATATAAATAATAAAATCGAGAATTTTCACACGAAAATAGCATTCGGTAGCCATTTTCGCCGTGAAGACAAGTCCAGAGGTCAAATTTTTTTTTTTCAAATTAAAGTATATTACATTAGCTTTAATTTAAGATATATATAAAAGTGTCAGATCTTCCGGAATATTTTCAAAAATTAAGTTGAAAAAGTTCTACTTTATATATGCATTTTTTATATTTTAAGCCCCTCCATATATAGGGAAACAGTCTGATTTAAAAAAAAAGTATATCCAATGAAAGATGTATATAAATACTACTTCTCATGAAAAAATTGTATTGATCCATACATTTTTTAAAAAGTTATAGCACTTTAAAGTAAAAAATGTAAATTATAAAATCGAAAATTTTCACACAAAAATAGCATTCGGTAGCCGTTTTCACCATGAAGACAAGTCCAGAGGTCAAATTTTTTTTTTTCAAATTAAAGTACATTACATTAGCTTTAATTTAAGATATATATAAAAGTGTCAGACCTTCCGGAACATTTTCAAAAGTTAAGTTGAAAAAGTTAATTTTTTGTGAAAAAGTTGTCATTTTAAATCCCCCCCTGTGGGCAGAAAAAAGGTCAAATTTACAAAAAAGATATACCAAATAATAGGTAAAGACATCAAGCATCTACAAAAAAAAATTTAATATTGGTATGTTGATTTTTGAAAAAGTTACGGCAGTTTTTAGTAAAAAAAATTGAAAAAATTTCGAAAATTAGCGATTTTTAANTAGTAAAAAAAATTGAAAAAATTTCGAAAATTAGCGATTTTTAAATTTGTAATTTTTTTGGAGGTTTCCCCCATTTACGGGGAACGAGGGAAATTTTTTCAATTTTGAAGGGTAATGTCTTCGACTAGATACGATTTGTGATCTTTTGACGTATCTTTGAAAGAAATCGGTTCGGTGAGAGCTGAGAAAAAGTGGTAACAGACACAAAAAAAATAAACACATCATAGTAAAACCAATACCTTCTCAGCTTCGTATCGAAGCTAAAATATTTAGGTATTCATCAATATTTTATTACAAAGATATAAAAAAAAATTACATTTATTAAACAATAATTATTTCAACATTTTCAAAAATTAAAAAAAAGAATAAGATATAAATAAGCTTTTTTATATGAACCATTTAAATAATTGATCATCACAATAATGACATTTGAATTGTGATGGAAAATTGAAAATTAAATAGTACATGCTATTCTGATTAATGGATATTTGATCTTTAATATATTTTATTGTAAAGCTATCTTGATCATACGCCATATCACGTATGCAATCATCAGTTGTGCATATGGAGTACATAATTTCATTATTTACATTATGTGATAATATAGAAAAAAAATTGAACTTCAAATAATTTTTTTCCCCAAACAATAAATTGTATACGCCTGAACGGATTTCAGATTTATACATTTCACAGTCACTTCTAATCATATCTAACGTCACGGAAGTTTTTAATGCATCTTCAAATTTAATGCCTTTCTCAGACACCGTAAAATTTCTTGATTCGTACAAAATGTCTGCCAATACAGGGTGATTTTTTTATCATAAACCACTCTATTACTTACAGAATAATAATAATTAAAATTTTTTTTTTATTATTATCTTTAGTTACACATTATTCTTGAACTATTAACTATGTAATAATTTTTAAGTTCATCCCTTATGCCTGGTAAAGGTGTCAACTTTGTTTTTTTAAATGGTAACACATATTTTTAATTTTATAAAATGTTTGAGTTTTTAATTCAATAGTAAATAGCGTTTGAATTTTTAATAAAACTTAATTTGTTTATTAGATATAAACATTTAAAGTTTCAAATTTTTGAGTTAATATATAGGTATAATACACAAGGGATTACAAATACAGGTAGCTAATTGGTTTTTTATGATATTGCTATCACAGTCACGGATTGTTTATAATCAATTATGACTATCAATAGATATACTTTCTGTATTGTAAGTTAGTATATTTATTAACTCATAACAGTGTGCCTTACTATCATTGATAATAACAATACTGTGTACCTGCTAATATCGATATCATCAAAAATCAATTAGCTACCTGTATATGTAATCCATTGTGTATTATACTTATATATTAAATCAAAAATTTGAAACTTTAAATGTTTATATCTAATAAACAAATTAAGTTTTATTAAAAATTCAAATGCCATTTACTATTGAATAATACATCCGCATGCGGAAGTCCCCTTGATTTTTGCAACACCAATATTTTTTAGCATTAGTTAGTCTATTGTCTACTATTGCAAAATAAACACTATAATTGTAAAACATATTCTAATACTTGCAGTGTTATAATGAGAGTTTACTTTATATATATATATATCTATATACATATATATACATTTATATTGATCTTTACTTTTCTTTTGTAACTTGCAAATCTTATAATACATTATAATATCTATAATTATAATGCATTGCTTTGATTGTGTTGAATTCATTACTATACACATAATCACTACCTCATATACACATATTGAAAGACTCTGTGCGGATTGCTCCATTGGGATTCCAGACGGTAACACGAACAACAAATAAATATTAAATTCCCTCAGGCAAGCCATCTAGATCCACCACAATGGCATATATATATATATATATGCCATCGAAAACTACGGATATATGTGATTTATTATTATTTTTCTATTAAAGTTATTAATTTAAGAAAATTTAAGAATTCAATGTTCATTATTGAAAAAAAACATTTAATTCATCTGGCTGATAATTTCAACGGGCACACGGTGTGTTTATCGTGATACTGTATACTGTATTAATTTATATTTACTTTTGTGTGAATTTGCTTGGATACCAAATAAACGTACTTTAAGTAAATAATTTTGAACGAATTACGTCGGTTTTTGTGTTATGGAAAGCAATTGAAATTTTTAAAATCTTCGGAAAAAGCTTACGAGTTCTCTGTGTACAGACATTACCGTCGTGTATTGAATCATTTTCGGCAGACGAAAATCACGATATGTATAGAAACACCGTATTGGCCACCGATCGGTCAAAAGCGACCAACGCTAGAGTGCCCTACAACGTCAAAATACTAACCGTGAATCAAAACGGATCTACTGCGGACAAGATTGCTACCAAACCGAAATATATCGCCAACACTGACACGATTACGATATCAAAGCCATCGGCTATCGGACTGATAAAAAACAAACGAAACGGTATTACCGATTGTGACTTTACGTTTACAAAAATGAAACGGCTTTCGTGGGTCACCCCATATTCTTGCATGTCCAATAAACGAAAGCTCACTACGAATACCGAATACTATGCGACAAAAAAAAATGAAGCAGACGACTGACGGCGACATCGATAAACCCTACGGGTTGGTCTTGAAAGTCTGGAAGCTCAACGAGACATCAACATTTTCCCTCGATACGAAAACATCGCCTCGAGTATACAGTTCGAATAACGCGAGCACAACAACTGAATCAATCGACATAGACTCGGCCGAGAGCGATAACGATGGTCCTTTCTTATACGGTAAAAAAGACAAGTCCATTAACTAGACTTAAATAAACGCCCGTTGCGCTGCGTTACAGTGTCGGTGTGATCGGGCTCTACGGGGCTACGAAACGTCGTCACGAACGCAGTTTCCCTAGCTCGGGGAATCGGACGCGTCCTCAGGTTGCGGATAGAGGAACGGCCTGCAGATATGCAGGTTAGCCGCGAAATAAGCAGTCCATTAATTTGGACTGACGAATAAGCGGTCGCGGACAGCGAGCCGCCCAAACGCTTGTTAATCCTGTAGATATACAGGATAGCCGTGAAATAAGCCTTTATAAGGACGAATAAGCGGTAGCGTTTGGGTGCGAACGGAGTTAAACGGCAACGCAACCAGTGAAGTTAGCCGCTCACTGGCCGGAGGGACTGGCTATGAGGGCAGCCCCCTCAAATCATATCACATTTATGAAAATGGAATCGAAAGGAGTAAATGTTACTGCATCAGGGGATTCGGATGCCCCAGTGCCGGCGGTTGGTGGGGGGCGTACCCACCAGGTGTCGTCATCAATCGAATACGCACCAAATGCAGGAGTGTTGAGGCAGGCTCCTGCAGCCAACCACGGGGTTGGTACTGCAACTGCAGGGAGTGGTGGTGACCAAGCCACTCCCACCGGTGAAATAGCCGGGAGGTCATTGGCAACGGTATGTTTGGATTCTGGTACGATATTGACGACGGCCAACTCCCTAGATGCGTCTCCTAAAATCTCTATATTGGAGAGATTGCGGTGCGCATCTAAGGGTGGTTCGACAAGGGTGGGACAAGGGTGGGTCACCCCATATTCTTGCATGTCCAATAAACGAAAGCTCACTACGAATACCGAATACTATGCGACAAAAAAAATGAAGCAGACGACTGACGACGACATCGATAAACCCAACGGATTGGTCTTGAAAGTCTGGAAGCTCAACGAGACACCAACGTTTTCCCTCGATACGAAAACATCGCCTCGAGTATACAGTTCGAATAACGCGAGCACAACAACTGAATCAATCGACATAGACTCGGCCGAGAGCGATAACGATGGTCCTTCCTTATACGGTAAAAAAGACAAGTCCATTAACTAGACTTAAATAAACGGCATTAGAAATATAATAGTATTTAAAATTAGATAAATTATTTAAACGAGAGTTAAGCGATCGGATTAAAAAATAAAAAATTTTGCTTGCAGACGTGCCGCCGCGAGATTTGAACGAGAAAATGAAGAACCCGCCCTCGTACGATTCATTTCTCACTGCGACGACGTGGTACAGCGGCGACACAATCAACGCGTATTTAAGTTTGATTGCATCGCGTTCGCAAGGCAAAGTGCACTACCTGATCACCGATTTTATGAAGGCACTTTCCCGACGCGGATACGCTGGCGTGAAAAGATGGATCAAAATCGATATACACTCTTTAAAACTCCTGTTGGTGCCCATGCACGTAAACGACAACCATTGGACCATGACTGTAGTCGATGTACCCGAAAAGACGATAACGTTTTTCGACAGTCTCAACTCCTACAATGGCCCTTACCCGTCGTTATTTAGACAATTTCTAATCGAATGGGAGATCGAAAACTACGGATATTCTTCCCAATGGACTTTACGGTACGGAAAAGCTGTGCAACAACGCAACGGTTATGATTGCGGACCGTTATCTTTGGAGTTGGCCGAGAAGATGTCCAGAGACGACGGCACGCCGATCAACCCGCTCGCAATGCCTTATGTCCGGTTGAGGCATAAGTACGAACTAGAAGCCGGCACATTATTCCAATTTTGACGTAAATATAATATATTTGCCCCTCATCAAGATTCACGTTTACCAATCACGACTTTATACGACACACCGATTTCGACTAATACCGACCTACTCATCAATACCAATTGAAATATGTAATATTCGCCTTATAACTCTATTTTTTCTGCCCCAGACGCTGTACTTACAATTTAAACGGCCGTGTTTAATCGAAGTACACGCCGGGGATGGCTTTTTCTTCATTGGAAACACGTTTTCTACAATATTCTACAATGCGCAACATTGAGTTTCCAATGTCGAGTGACACATCAGTTCGATGTTATTTGATTCCGTTAGAAATATTGTACATTTTGTATTATTTTTTTTATTAAATTCGTGTACAATAACTTTATGATAGTACCTCTTTTGTACATGCAAATTTATTAATAATTGTTATTTTTTTTCATATATATGTCAATATTATTTTGTTATATAGTATTTTTTCGTTGTATATTTGTTTGTTTTCTTGTGTGAAATATTTTTCTTTCTAATTGGAAATTGTATATTTATTATGATATATGTAATTTGTTATTATCAATATATGTGTACATTTTTTTTTTTTAATAAAACATATCCGTGAAAAGCGTGTGGTCATTTAATAACTAGCGTTATTTTTAGATATAATTTTTTGGATAGCCCATACAACAGTACGCTAAGGCATCAAATTATTAACCGTGAATCCAAACGGATCTTAAGCGGACGAAACGGCTAAAAAAACACAAGAGTTTTTTCTATAATTATACGATTCACCGAATTTCGACCACTGTAAGACAATTACGATATGTTTACAAATACCGTACCACCCACCTACCGTTCTGAAATATGGGCTAATCATTACTTTTTGCAAACAAAATTATCGTATTAAATAATTTTATATTATAAAAAAGTGATTTTATTAAGGAATACATTTGACCCTTTTTTTTTCAATTTTTTTAAATAAAAAATGGTGATGTTGCCATGTATAGTTTTAATTAGATATTTCTCGACCAAAATTAAACAGTTTTGATTAGTTAGATGTTACAAAAATTTGTTATAACCTTTTTGCAATACATTATTGTTTACTGCATTTTTAATTCCGTGGAATTTTTTTAATTTATAATAATTAAAAGAATATACATAAAAATAACCCACCACAGTGGTGGTCGCGGTACAGTGGTGACGTGGCATAGTTGGATCAAGTATAATGATATCTGACAGTCATTAAAATCACTATAAAAAAAACGCTTCGATGCAAATCTTTAGATAGTGTTTAATTTTAAAAAATTGGTCGATTTTTCGAAAAGATACATGATCTGCTAGTTCCTTATTAATATCCTGATTAAGAAAAGTATGTCGAATGAAAAAGGGATTATTAAAAAATACTATAATAAGATAATATAATGTCCGAAATTTTTTTTTCCATGATAAAGTATATTACATTAGCTTTAATTTAAGATATATATAAAAGTGTCAGACTTTCCGGAATATTTTCAAAAGTCAAGTTGAAAAAATTAATTTTTTGTGAAAGGTTGTCATTTTAAATCCCCTTTGTGGGCAGGTCTAGGGTAAGTTTTATACAAAAATTTGTGTTTGAACGGAACGCCCGGTTTAATGTGCGGGTTAGTTAACGTCCAGTTGGGTTATCTAATTATGCCGGAGAAAGAAATAGGGAGTGGACTGTAATATAAAAGGATGGTACTTACACCAAATAAAATAAAATGAATTACAATATAAGAAATTATATTAAAGTAATAATATATATTCAAACTATTATAAGATTGTGGATGGGGGGGTCACTTAATACTAATGCAACATTGGCGCGAAGACAAATAAATAGTAATATATGTAAAAGTAATAATATAATGACAACTAATTAATTACTTAACAATTACTGTAGTCTTGAAAGTTGTACAAATGAATTGATCTGGAATGAATAACTTTTCAACCAAATGGTGGATGCAATTCATTAACATCAATGGGATGTGGTTAATCGCAAGGCGATGATATGGTGATGTAGATGGGTGCAGGCGCGTCGCAGGGCGAATTTACTATATTTGCGTACTAAAGTACACGCGAATCGCAAAGGCGATTGTTATATATAAAAAAAAAAACTATTATTCACGAAAAGTCTTATGGAACACTTTGACAAGGGTCAAAACAGTAACAGCACCACATACACTATAACTCAAAGAATTTTACATCGATCGCGCACGTAATCATCCAACGCAATGAATCGCTCACACAACCGGTGGTGGTAGTGCGAGAGACGTAATCATTCATAAAAATACGATGTAGCAAAACGCCCTCTCGTAATGCGCACCCAACAATTTGTTATAACCTTTTTGCATTACATTATTGTTTACTGCATTTTTAATTCCGTGGAATTTTTTTTATTTATAATAATTAAAAAGATATATATAAAAAAACTAGATTTCTACATCTATTAGTCAATTATTAACCCCTTTGAGGCTCGTGAAGGAGTTGACCTTAAAATTCACAAATATTTTCTGTATGCTATTTTAAATATGAATGTAAAAAAATAACTCTCTTAATTATTTATATTAATTTCATTTACAAATATTTAAGGTTTCAATACAATAAATTATTTTGATTTGTTCATTTTGAATGAACAAATTAAATGATAATTAAATGATACCCAAATTCGAACAAAGAAACTCTCAAAAGAAAATATCCCCAATAATAATTTTTTAAAAGTTAAAATTAATATAAGCATGATAAAATTATCATTTCCATTTGGTATTTTTTAAATTTGTTGTGTATTACCATAAACAGAATTTAACTAAACAAATTTTAACCAAGAATACTCATATATTTTGTAAAAATAATTATTAATCATGATAAAACAATAAAACTATCGCCCCAATAAAAATTTTACTCACTACTTTTTTTCTAGACAATTAAAATTTGAACAATTTTTATATGAAACATTACTTCTTATAATAACCGGTTCGTCAGATATGATGCAGTATTCGTAAATATCCTAATTTCGACAGTTTCGCAAAATAATACTTATTTTTCAATTTTTCTAGAAAACTAGTGGGTTTAGAAGAAAAACTATACAAACTTAAATTATACAAAACATTTATATCTACAATTTATTTTTTATACATTTTTTTGTGAAAGCACTCATTTACGAATCAATGGCAAATAACTGAAAAACTACCCCTTTTAGCTAATTTTCAACCCCGAGTCAGTACGGGTTAAACTTGTTTGATCGACCTGAATTTTTTTGTGTTATTTTTTATATGTATACAAATAAATTTGAAGGGTATGCACTAAGCATTTCCGAAACTTTTAAATTTTAGGACACCTTAATATATATACGTCATTATTTTATTTGTTTATTTATTTAGTTTACGGGATGTATCCCTTTTTTTAAAAGCTATGTTTACATATTTAATTTTAACCAAATTGAGAGAAAGACACAAAAACAAACAAAAAATACATAAAAAACAAATAACAAAAGACAAAATCAAAAATGTTTACAACTAATAAATCGACATATGAAAAAGATATTACAAAACTCAATACAAATATTATTATAATATAAAATTAGGATCTGCATTAGCATTTCTAAATAACCGGCGAAGGGTTTCATTCATTAGGTAGTTTGTGGGGACATGCGTAACTCGGAAAGGCGCATTCGACCTGGTATTAATCTGCGGAACCCTAAAAGGGATCAGAGATAATACCTCAGGACATTCTATCTTCCCATCAAGCAAACTCCGAGAAACCTTCGGGGCTGGTAATGTATATTTTTGTTTTAATGTTTTGAGCCAGATTTTTTTTAGTGCGCCGTGCCATAAGCACGTGTGCCGAATTTTTTTTATATTTTTATATGTAGTTTTTTTTTCTATAGGTGCCCTTATTTTTATTTAGGTCCCGCAACATGGCAGGCGTGTACAAGACCACCTGTCATGTTATATCCATAGTTTTTTGTGATTTTTTTATATTATGTTTTATGGGTGATATGTATATATTATTGATACAATGTGGTGACGTAGTGCATTTTATTCCGGGGTGTCCCAACGTCTTGCAAGCTAAGCCTAACTGCCAGAAACCAGTCGCTTACTTGGGACGTATACCCGCCGTGCTTAGCGGCAATGCTGCGATTAATAGCCGGCGGGTACCCGAAGACGTTCATCGTATTCTCTAATAATAAAATTGTAGGTATAACTATTTTTTTTTTATTAATATCTATTTTTTTTTCTCTTTCTTTGTCCCCTTTAATTGTTGACGAGGTTTTTTGACCGTTCGGTTTTTTGCCTCGTGTTAACTTAATTTTTTTTGTTTTTTTTTTTTTATAAATTCCCCTTAATTTAACTGAACCATCATATTTTTCTTTTTTTTGCGTATTCCATCTTCAATGGACTCGTGTATTTTTTTTTTCCTTTCAAAAATCAACTCTCCTAGTCTATAAGGTACGAGCAACGGCCTTGTATAAGGTCATCCCTGATCTATATGGTTATGTGACAACTGTCACGATGTTTTAGGTGTACATCTACTATCAACGACTCAACGGACATCAACTTTAATATTTATTAATTATATATTTTTTCTAATTGTTTTATTATAGAAAAGTTAATTTTTTTTTAAAATCCTACTGTGGTCCGACAATACACTGTCTCGCCCAGTAGGTTGGCGACCCTTTTCTTAGAATTTTGTAAAACGCCATGGAAGTTACAAATTTTTCGTTGCGGCCAATTAGTATGATTTTTTTATATATTTGTAACCTTTCACATGTAAGCGCGGATAAAGTGAAACTTCTGTCGTTATGAAAATATCGCATAAAAATTGCATATATTGTGAGTAGTGTACAAATGTTTCTTCTAAAATNTATTGTGAGTAGTGTATAAATGTTTCTTCTAAAATACCTGATCACCTGATCACATGAACAAATGTTTTGGTATTTTTTCAATGAAAGTTGTCTTTATACGACAACAGTTCCCCTTTACGTCATTTCCTCTAAACGTTATTAGTTCAACCGTACGTCACCACGCCCACCCGACTTTAGTTCACTTGTACGTCACTACGTCACTTGTTTTGATAAATTTTTGTGAGTATGGTTAAAGGCGGTACTTCGTATATTGGGTTGGTGTCCCATCACGTGTGAACCTGTTTATACATGTGATAGAGAATATATTTTTGCTCCCCATTGCGGGTCATGTTTCGAGGGCGGTTTTATACGATCCTATGATACGATTTCATCTGGTATCATATTGTTATGTTTTCGATGAATCCAGGTGCATAATATGCCGTATATGTATATTAAAAATTCACTCACCACGCTTTGTATAACTCGGGGAGATATTTAAGTCCATAAAAATACAATTTCTATAGTCAAAAATCAACTAAGTCTTTCTATATTATTGTTGTCAATATAGAATTTGTAGAATTATTAGATTTTCGAAATACTAACTTATATTTTAATATTAACAAAAATTATTTTTAGACATTTTTTTAAAATCACAGCATCTATTTTAATTTTTATATTTTCATAATATGTTGTCAATATTTTAATAATATTTATAACTAATAAACTTTTTTATTATCTTGGAAACATTTTGACATTATTTATAACTCAACAGAAATTTTTTTTTTTTAAATATTTTAAAAGCATATAAGTGACATGTTTTTTAAAACTATGCCATACGATCATATAGCATCGTTTTAAAAATGTAGCACCCTCTAAGAAATAATCATAAATTCTCAATATGAATGGGTAGTATTATTAAAAATTCACCTTGTATTTACGAACGTGATTTTATCATAAAAAAGTAAACGAAATAACTCATACAAAAATATGATACATTGCTTATAAAATGTTTTTCTTAACATTTTATACTAAGTTAAAATAGGGTCTTTCTTAATACGTATCAAATTATTATTCGAATACAACTTAAAATGTATTGTTAAAACTCGTTATTTTGGGGTATTATGTCTACACACTGTGAATTCCTGAGGATTATTTTACTTTTACGGTACCCTAATATATATACTTAAAGTGTACTTACACTTCAGTAAAAAAAATAATAATAATAAATCAGGTAAATAATAATAAGCTACAAGGTTAATTTAAAATAAATTATATAATCATTGCTGCGTAAATTCTTTACATACTTTTAAGCGGGGTCTCTTTAATACTTATCAAATTATTGTTAAAACTCGTTATTTCAGGGTGATACGTTTAGACACTGTGAATACCAGAGGGTTATTTTACTTTTTATTAGGTCCTTACACATTTTTAAACGGTTTGAGTTATTTTTTACTAAAAATGTTATTCATAACAGTAAAAATATAATTTTAGAAACTAATTAACTTAAAAGGCTAATTTAAATAAATAAATATTTCATATATACTGCAGACATCTGTTTTAATAATATGAAAATTAATCTTAGTATTTATTATTGTTGTAACACGTTATTTAAGCAGTATGAGTTATGTTTAATCAGTTGGGGAGACGCCTACATAATTTACCGCGCCCTTATATTCATATTTTGTTTAAACCAGTTTTATTTTACTGTCTATTACTATCGACTTCAGCGTTTTTTTCTGTGATGAGTATTCTTGTTTAAAAATCATGCATTTATCTCCTAAATCTCGAAGACGAAGGTTTTTGTTATAAAATCATTCTCAGTAAAAATGAAAAATGTAAGTATATTTATTTATTTTTTTAAACTTAACATTAACAACTTTTTTTTTTTTTAGACCACTTCTGATTATATCGTTCAAGAATTGGAAAATGAATATCTACATGACATCAGCTCATACCTAGAGAACTTTTGTGCTAATAACTCGAGCAGCGAAATGGAACTTAAAAATGTAAAAAACGACAATCTTAGTGTTTCGGTATGTATATAAAAAAAAAAATAATAAATAATATTAATAATAAATTTTGTACGAAATATTTTTTGAAATTTAATTTTTTATATACATATCATATCTTTTATTAACAAAATAAATATTTTTTGTAGAATACTCCTGTATATAACAGCACACAGTTTCTGGAAATACTAAAAAATATTCCCGAAGAACGTCCATAAATGTTCTCACCCGTCTATTTCAATGACATTGGTGATTTAGTTGAATTCCCTGATAATGAATTGGGAATTCAATGCTATGACGATGAATTTAGTGTTTTAGTAAGCATAATTATTATTTTTTTAAATTTTTTTAAAATTTTTATATCGAAATAAAAAATGTATTTCTGTTAATAGACTCAAGGAACATATGGACTTTGTTACCGCGTCATTGATGACCGGACAAGCCCCGATCACTTCCCCGAAATTAATGATTTGTCAATACTGTCTAATTGTTATCATTGTAAGTTGTTTTTAAATAAACTTAGTTTATTTTAAATAACATATTTTTTTTTGTATTAGCTGTACCAAGAAACGAATCACCTCAAGAAATGGATACATAAAATCTATGGGGAGATGACGGTTTTAATTCAGATGTGAATTACATTTTATGACGGGCAATAGAGTCCAACAACTATTTGTAAAATTTAGTATTTTTTGTGTAAATTTTATGTAGAGTTTTAAATTATGTTAAGCCAAATATTAATAAATGATTATAAATATTAATAATATTGTTTTTATGTTAAGTCAAAAATGTACAAACTTAAATTTTGTTTTTAATAAAATAATGTGTCATAAAAAAAAGAGTTAAGTAGGTTAATGTTTTGTATATTGGGATGGTGAAATCCAATAAATAATTTTTTTTAATATGAAAAGCAATGAGAGGATAATTAAATTGAATATGAGTATAAATATTATGTTAATGTTTTGAAATTCGTTTAGCTACAAAATGAAAATAAAAGCATATGGCATATAATCATAAATTCTTTGTTTTGATATAATGACCACTCCTATTTTGTCGTAAAATATAGATCGCAAGTAAATCACTTCTGTATGACGCACAATGAAACGTGCAACGATTAAGGAGAAGAATTTTACGACTCTTAATATTTAGTGGTTGTGTTATAGAAATAATAAACTGTGTGTGTTTACGTAAATTGCAACTGTCCAGTTGTGTATTTGATATGAGAGTCGACAGAGTTAAAGACAGGCTGGCTACACCATCGGAGATATACTCGTCGATTCACGGACCTTACAGAGTCTAGAACTACTTGCCGAAAAGAGCGTGATAGAATATGAGAATCAATCCCTAGTGACACGTCATAAACTATTGTTTTACCAACAGTTTTAACCGCTTGATGTTCTAGGGTAATGATTTCAACAAACCATCAGCACCTTGTGGAATCAATCAAACACTTATCTATTTNCAGTTTTAACCGCTTGATGTGCTAGGGTAATGATTTCAACAAACCATCAGCACCTTGTGCAATCAATCAAACACTTATCTATTTAAATTTAAGATACACTCTACGATCTCCTTAGTGACATGACATAAACCATTGTTTTATCAACAGTTTTAGCCACTTGATGTGCTAAGGTAAATTTTCGAAATGCACTTAATAAATAGACAATCCAGTTAAAGAATTAAAAAAAATTCTTAATTGAAACAACTCACAAAATACAAAATAAAAATTTTAAACGTCTTAATATTTTAGTAATAATTAAGACTAAAAATAAAAAGATAAAAAGGTTAAGTTGTTTTTTAAATTACATTACTTACGAGAGATTTAGATAATAAACACCAAGTATAAAAAAAATTTTAAATCATAGAGAACACAATCACGAAATATTCTGGTTCAAAGATACTTCATGACCAAACTTTTAGAAAAAAAATGAGCTGGTAAATGAGCTAAAAATCGCTCTTTTATAGGCCTGTTTTATGATGGGGAGACTTAATGTTTTATTTTAATTGCAAAATCCTTCTCATTGGCTAGTCAAGGAAACTTGAATAGACCTGTGCGCAATCTATTATTCTACTAATTTGAGTTAATGTTTCATATTTGTATTGGTGTTTATATCTATCATCTTCCATAATAATGTGGTTTATTAGAAAAATTGTCAATATAAAAATATAAATAAAATAAAATTATAAGTGCTAAATATCTATTACAAATATATACATAAAACCTCATATCATTTGATATTTTCTGAAGAACAGAGCTTTGATTCTTACAATTGTGGACACTTGTGTTTAAAATTTCTGTCTGAACCATGGTTAGCATAACGTTAAATGGTGAATCTTCCGAATTGAGTTGTGATCTCTTTCCGTCTTTGGAGCTTCAACGTGAGAGTGAAATAGCTCTCATAAGTTTTCAGAGTAACAATTCGTTACCTAATATTACCTCGTCTAATAATAATTTTCAATACAAGTATGTTGATATAAACAACGAATTTGTAACGGAATCCATAGAAATACCTATACATATGAAATAGAGAGTCTGGAAATGTTCATTAGAAAAAAAATGGAGGAGAGAGGATTTACTTTTGCATTAAAACCAAATAAAGTTACGTTGAAATGTGAGATGTTATGCAACGACCACGTTGACTTTTCTACACCTAACAGTATTGGACCAACCCTTGGATTTAAAAAGTATAGGTTTTATGAACCTAATGTACGTCATACATCAGATTATATTGTTAAAATAAATCCAAATAATTGTATAAATATATCATGCAACCTAATTGAATCATCATTTGTTAATGGAACACTGAGTCACGAAATTCATCAGTTTTATCCGTCAGTAACACCCAAGTACAAAATTATTGAAGAACCGAAATATTTAGTTTATTACCCGCTAATTACTAATAGTATATCGCGCGTGAGTCTTCGAATAACCAACCAGGACGGTAAATTGATTGACTTTAAAGGAGAGCCGATCACAATACGTTTACATTGACACGGCCCGTAATAGCGCACTATTCATTTACCGTGAATTAGCACGTTATCCGGTCGTGACTATCAGCTGTCCACCGTCGCACTCATTAGTGTTGACGATAACACAAGTTTGTCTTATCCGGCGGTCGGTAGATAGGACAGGTCAGGGGGGTTCAGCACCGCGAGACACGTCGGCGACTATGTAAACTAGTTCACCTGTGACTTATATCCGCCGTACGTGTCGTCGAGTTATACCCGCACCTTACGGTTTACCCGTCACTTGTATATTGTAAATTATAATATTCTTATAACTTAAATTCAAAATAAAGTTAATCGACCATTTAACGGTGTTACATAATTTATTTTATTAAAAACACCTTTATACTGTGTCAACATATTAAACGATCACACGTATAAAAATGGCTCTGAAATTTTCTAGTATAAATAAGAGTGCATCCGGTTATAGTAAGTCTATTGATTCTCAGAAGCGAAAGAAGTATAAGACTATTAAAAAAATATTCTACAAAAAAAAAGCAAGAAAATCAGAAAGAAAAAGTTATCTAAATCAAATCTACAATTTCTACAAAGTGTTGGAGCATTATGATGGAAGAGAGGACTTTAGACGTGATGGCCGAGTGCATTGATGATTGTGCCCTTATTCATTAATAATACCACTCGTATTTACCATTTTCTGCATTCGCACTGTCTAATAACGATGAAATTAGAATTTCAATTCAAAACTCTAAAGGGTATTCAATTCCTAGTCAGAGTTATTTGTATATTGATGGTAAACTAGATCGCCCGGCAGGAGTTAGCGGTGACGTTAAGTTTATAAATAACGGATTTGATTATTTTTATTCTCAGAACTTCGTTATGAAATTAACGGAGTTGAAATTCAAAAAGTACGAAATCCTGGAATTACTTCAACTTTAAAAGCTATGTGCTCGTATACCATGGGTGAAATTAATGAATTAAGTGCTATTCGGTTTGACGCAATAAATTTTAACAATAGTGGTTTCATGAGTGGAGACAAGTTTTCAGTGTGTTTGCCCCTCAAACATTTCTTTGGATATTTTGAGGATTATAAAAGAATACTTATGAACTTTATTCAACAATTAATACTTAACAGAGCATCAAATGATGTTGATGCGATACAAGTATTCGATACTAATACTACCGCTGGACCCGAATTAGCGAAGACTAAAATAATTTTGAACAAAGTATTGTGGAAAATGCCTTTGGTCAAAGTATCAAACAAAGAAAAATTGAAGTCAATGAAAGTGATTGATAGTCACAAATCTATTATATGTCCATTTAGAACTTGGGAATTGGCTGAATATCCGTTTTTACCTAAAGCTTCGCAACATTCTTGGACGGTGCGAACATGCAATAATTTAGAAAAACCAAGATATGTTATTATCGGTTTTCAAACAGATCGTAAGAATATGGGAAATAAGTNCAGGTCATGTATATGTACAGGGTGATTGACTAACTATGCCTTACAAATTTTTTTTAAAAATATTAGTGTTATCATATATATAATTATTGTATTTGTTATAAATATTTGTTNTATATATAATTATTTTATTTGTTATAAATATTTGTTGAGCTACTTGACAAGAAAAATAAAGATTCCGTCTTCATCCCTTAACCCTCAAATCAATATCAACTTTAGTTTTTCAAATAACAACCCAGTTTTAGCTTCGATACGAAGCTGAGAAGGTATTGGTTTTACTATGATGTGTTCTTTTTTTTGTCTGTTACCATTTTTACTCAGCTCTCTCTGAACCAATTTCTTTCAACGGTACATCAAAAGATCATCGTACTTAGAATTGTATCTAGTCAAAGACATTACCCTCAAAAATTGAATAAATTTCCCTCAATCCACGTAAATGCGAGAAATCTTCAAAAAAATTATTTATTATTAATCATTATTAATTATTATAAATTAAAAAAATTCCACGGAATTAAAAATGCAGTAAACAATAATGTATTGCAAAAAGGTTATAACAAATTTTTGTAACATCTAACTAATCAAAACTGTTTAATTTTTGTCGAGAAATATCTAATTAAAACTATACATGGCAACATCACCATTCTTTATTTTAAAAAATTGAAAAAAAAAGGGTCAAATGTATAAAACTGCTATAACTTGTCTTTAAAAACTGATTTTATTAAAATTTTTAATAGAGTATACTTGACAAAGTATTCTTTAATCGGGTATGCTTTTATGACAATCCAATGAATAACTTAAGTACAAGATGATTTGAAAAAACGCATGAAAAATTATATTTTTTCACACACGTCAAAACACAAGTTTAGGAAATTTTCCGGAACAACTGCTTGCTTTAAACTTATATTAAATTAATGCTTTTGTAATGTATTATAAGGTTAAAATAAAAATTATTTTGGCGATTGTTCCACTGTAAGAAATTGGACGTCAAAGGTAAAAAATTCTCATTTCCTATACGTACATTAATAAAAATAGAAACACACAATTTGAATTATATTTGTTAATCCATTATGTTTTAAATAGGTATGCATCGAGCCTATTAGTTTTTGTACAAGTACATCCATTGAAATAAAAATTACAATATTAAAATAATAATTAACCTAAAGAATGTGCTAATGATCAAATAACAACACAGATCTTAGCTGTTAACTAAGATTTGTTTGAACTTTTTGATGTGTTTAAGTTTATCAATAATTCCATAATTGCGTGATAAAAATGAAGGACTGCAATGGTTAAAAAATT